AAAAAATCGCGTCCAGTGATAATTACGAAAGAAAACAGATTTAATTTGGACGTATCCGACGGTTTTAGTTACTATCACCATGATTATAAGATGGGCAATAGTTTAGCCGCCGTCAAATGGAAAGTGCCAGTGTAATGATCTCGGTCGGCATTGTGTAGCATGGTAAAACGGAAATAAAATTTATTAAAGGTCGAGTGAATACCAGAAAGTATCTCGAAATGATTGATGAACAGATAAATACATATGCCACAAAAATTGCCAGAGATAATTATATATTCCAACAAGATAATACTGCAGTGCATACCGCAAAAGTGATTTATCTTCTTTTATACCAAAAAACTTGCTCTCTTTCTGCCAATCTTTCTACCGAAAAGAATTATTAATTTCGTACCTTTGCGTTTCTTTAACATTTCTATTTTTTGTTAATAAACATAAATCTGTCGTTATAATTTAAGTTCATTTGATGTATATATATTCATAAAGATGAGAAAATGCATATAAAACATGTAATTTGCAATATTTAATAAATAGAAATTAAGTAATTTTTTAAGTGTTTTTTTTCTCAGAGTGTATGTTTACAACTATACGGATATAATTTTTGTTAAATTACAAACTCATGATTTAGCATTTGCAATATTACTTTAGGATGTACAAAAATGCACTTAAATAGTAGAAAACGGAAAATTTTGTTTATAGATAGTCTTCGATCAAACACGAACATAAAATCGTCCAAAGTTTAATGTACACATTCGAACATCCACATATATACATAAATTGGAAGAAATATCGAAGAAGTAGGTTCGTAAAATTTTATTATACTGCCCATTATTCGATGCATTAAAATCCTTTAACTTTATATCCGTAACTAATTTCATGATCATAATCAAGATATTATCTTACAGGAACAACTTACTACCTCTTCTTTATGCTATAAAAGTAATATTACAGATAAGTAAACCTTGATACAAAGAAAATATAGACCTGCTTAAGATTATTCATTAAAACACTGATATCAAGAATCGTTTCTTTATTTCAATATTTTTTACTCTTATCCCAAAGAGTTACGATCGTAAATCTTTTCAATGTTATTCTAATTAATCCCTTTCCAAGACTCCTTGATATTATATTACTTTGAAAAGAACATTGTCTCATTTCTCGAAATAACTTCTACAAAACTTTTCCTCCTTTTGAAAAGATTTGTATCCATTGAGGCATAAATTAAATTTATAAACTTACACCGAAGTTTTAGTCTTGAACGCTTCCGTTAAACATGCTCACGTTTGCAAGCATTAAATATAAAGCTTGTTTTAAAAATTATTCACATTAACAGATATTAACAAGCTTACATGTTTTAAAATTTTTGCCTTTTGCTTCGAACTGAGTAAGACACCATCGATCCTAAGGCATTACTGATATATTTTCCACCCTTATAGCGAGAAATTCGAAAAATGACGAAAATCAAAATATTCAGGAATAGTATATTAATTTAGTTTCAAGATAAAGGTATTTTAAAGATAAACTGATAGATTCCACCCTCTTTCTTCGTTCTTCTAACATTTAATGTTTAAGATCTTGAAAATTATTCGAACCTTAAGATAAAACTTTTCCACGAATTAATTTCTCGAGAGTATCGGTAAAAAAACGTTTCCGTTTCTGTAAAAATGACCGAACGTCAGCAACGAGACATGTACATACGTACCTAAACAGAAGCTGCCGAAAAATCCCGCAAGTGTACGACGTAATGTTTGCACATAAATTGGCCCGGTCGAGTGACAACGCGCAATTAAATAAATACTCGTAAGATAAACTTCTTTACTTCTTGCTGAAGAATGTTTATTCCAAGAAGGTCGAGGTGCAAGCTACGAAATTCACGGAACGACTCCTCGTATACCGGTTTGTCGAGTTTTCCGGCAACGTTAATTTCTCAGTTTTTAATCTCCGTCTCTATTTCCGAAATGAACCATCGAGATATCTAAACGTCCACACTTTGGATAAACAACAACATTTTCGCCTCGCGTAAACCGACTTTATCGAAATATATTTATATACTTCGCGATTACGAATCACCTACGCGAATGCCGACAAAAGGTACGAAGAAAATAGCGTGACACGAAGCAAAAGTATTGAACTTAAGAAATGGCTAATATTTCCTTTTGCTCGATATCATTTAATAATTGTAAAAATTGGAAGGTTCATGGTCCTCTTGAGGTATATATGTCTTCTTTATCAGATGTACAAAAAGGACCACGAACCTTGCGGTTCAAACCTCGTAAACGTTTCAATACAACTACGTTTGTGCATTTTCCTTGTACGGCTTACTATGCTCATTACTTTACAATTGTCACAAAATATAAAATCTTGAACTACATGAAAGTATCGAAAGAGACCAAGGAGGTATCGATTGACGTTAGATCGGCGACATCGGGATTTCCAATGATCGAGAAATAAATTCTCCGGCGACGGTGGCAGCCGAATCATCATGACGATAAAACGACTACGCATCGGACGTACCCTTTCGCCATTGATTATCCTTTTTCCACGATATATACGTCCAACTGGTTTACGAAGGCAACCAGCGGAGACTTTTTCCTCGTGTTTTGTCCGTGCGGTGCACCACGAACGATCGCGAAGAAGCAAGGAGAGTAAGAAAAAGTAGAGGGGAACCTGGAGTAGGAGGAACAGAAGGAAGAGGAGGAAGAAGAGGAGGGTTAACGCACTCGCCACACCCTGCTTTAAAGATTGTAAACGATTATTAATGCTCCACCGTGGCTGACCCGTAACCCGCCGGTGGATCACACGTTGTATCCTTCTCTTTCCTCTTTGGTCCTCCGGGCGCATCTCCTCTTTCACCCTCGAAATATCCCAGCAAAAGTAACAAGACACAGCACCATAACCAGAAGAAATCGAACGGTTCGAGATTCGCGCGGGCCCTTATCCGACGCTTTTCTTAATTAGCGTGCCACATTATGGAGTATAACTCGAAAGTTATGTTCCGCAACGGCAACTAATTTGCGTAACACGCTGCGCTGTCTGCATTAAGGTGTCGACCATAGTCAAAGGCACAGGGACTGCCAGAACGAATGAAAATTTTAGAGAAACGCTCCCCAACGGGTAACTTCTGCACGCTACTTCCACGTTAAATTAAATTAGGAAAATGTAGACGTTACAAATGATATTTTTCTTTTGTTATTAAACTAAAGTAAGGTCGTTTCTGCCATACTTTACTACTCTCAATATGAGAAAAACATATATTAGCTATATTACAATTATATTACTTTGGAAATATTGCTAATCTCGTATATGTTACAAAATAATATATTGTCTGATGGTATAAGTTTTTTGTATTCAGAATTTAGACTTCTAATTACATTATAGTGAACATATATTTTATATCATTCTGATAGCTTGTGATATACATTATATTACAATTATACTAATTTGGAAATGTTACTAATCTCATATATGCTACAAAATAATATATTGTTCGATAGTATAAAATTTTTGTTTTCAGAATTTAGGCTTCTAATTACATTATGGTGATCATAGAAAAAATTCGACGGGTAATACGAAATTTATTTTCAAATTAGCACAAATATCTATTTAATAAATTTATTAATAGTAACAATTTTTTATATTATTGTCGTAATTACTGTTGGAGTAATTAAGACCATAATACAAAAATATATTAATCGAGCCCAATAAAACTTAATTTGTAATAAATTTCTTAAATGGACTTATTAAGAATGTGATCGAAATTATCATTGTCTACAGAATATTGACAATACACAAGGTGTTTGGAAATACCCTATCAGTAAATTTGAATTGTATGCTAATCCCAAGTGTGTAAGCCCCATTTGTAGCAATTATAAAGCTAGGGATTCTTCTTTCAATAATAAATAATTACAGATTTAATTTCAATTTCTTTTAAGTAATCAGAACGAACTATACTCCAAATTTTCGCACCCTAAGTTTAAATTTTAAAGGTTACACGCCTCGTTCCATAAATTAATGTTAATCATATACGCAGGAAACTGACGTTGCTGAGATTAATCAACGTTGGTTATGAGCCATTGTACGTCACACTGCGAAGAAACCTTTGCAACGGTCGTGACAAGAATATGACATTCATCGTTTATAATACCCACGGTTACCAATTCATTTATTGGCGGGAAAATCGACGATTAAACTTACGCGTACCAGACATTTTAACGATTTTAAAATATCTAATTAATAATCTTTAATCTGATTAACTATAATGTAGCTATAAAGTCGATAGAGCTCGTTCAAGAGTACGAGTTCCGAGAATCGAAAAATGTTTGCGATGCAAAAAGAAAATTTGTTTTTTGTAGAAACTCAAGAAATTCTCGATACTTGCGTCGATTTCGTCGAACCAGGTTCATTTGAACCGTCACGGCGATCCGCGATGCGCATTGAATACTGCTTCGACCTCGCGATAAGGCAAGAATGAAAATAAATTGCGAGATGTGGAAGTTTGCAATACTTTCGGTAGTCCTTGTTTATCGATATTTACGAGGCAATTTCAATTCTTCGAATTTGCCATTATCGGATGTTTCGTTTAAGCCGCGAGCTCGATAATCCAATGATCCGCGATATGAAACGATACGACGTGTATAAAGATAACGTTTCGGTGCATCGGAGAAGTGTCGATGTCGCATTATGCAAATTGCATGTGACACGTGCTATATAATTCGTGGAACTTGCGGCATGTTCCGTGATGGAAGAAACTTTGCATAAAACCGAGTCGCTCGTAACGGGTTTGTTCGTCAATTCGTAATTGAGCATCCGACAAGGTGAAAAGAAGAGGGTAAAAACGAGGAGAAATCACGCGTAAAAGAGTCGTGAAACTTCTTCAAAATTTCTTGCGACAAATTTCTTTCGCGTCGCGATAACGCGCGTTCGACAGGGGATAAGTGGAAACGCTACGAGAGGAAAAAATAGTGACCGTATTAGAATTAACTGAAACAGATAGAATGACTCACCATGAAAACCATGAACCTTGATTGCAGGTTGGCGCTCTCGAAGTAAGTCAGCGTTTCCAGCGTTTACTCGCCCGTGTACGCTGTGCACTTCCTTTCTCCGTTTCGATCGTTTTCCTGGGGTATTAATTCACTTCACAGCCGAGAAATCGATCGGTCAGTTCACTTCGATAATCACAACTCGATCTCACTGTTCGATTTATAAATATATTCTTTTCGTAAACACGTGGTCACCGGTGATTTTTAACAAAAGAAAAAAAAAAGCTACCGATAAACCTGCGGAAAAGAATTGCGATCGCAGATAAAGTTACGATGAGAAAATAATTGCTCGCTACTCGATCCTTATTGCTCCTCGATTAGTTATAATATGTATAACAGCTACGTCTGTAAACGACGTTATCTAGTAAACGATTATCCAAAAGGTGATGTATTGCCTATTAATTTAACTATCTAAGTAACTTATTAATTGGCTATTGGTAGCGACAGATACAGATACTGGCTCTCTACTGGCATTTGATTGGCATACTGGCATGAATACTGGCCCGTTCGGCGTACGTCACCTGCAACATACAAACGTACGTATCTGCATTAGAAATTAGTCGGTACGATTGCGGGAAACTTAACTAGTAACAGCAAGGTTTTATCATAGTCCTACTAGTTTCTCGATCCAGCTAAATCAAATTCCTGGAACGACGTAAAAACAAGTAATAGTACCACATTCTAAATAACCTCGTTGAAAGTCAGCATTAAATTCTATGAAGTACTAAATCAATTTTTTCAACGATTAACGATTAATCGATATGTGATTACACATTTTTCTATACCCTATAAATGTATCAAACGATGCAAATTCGAGAAATACTTCGTACGCGTCATTAGTCATTTCTGACTTAAACACGAAGCAGTCAAGTTCGTCGGAATAGAGGCAAACGTAATACATATTCAGTTTCGCCATTCATAGAAAAAGAAAAACTAGTTAAACATGAATGGTTTGAGAAATTTAGACGCGCATTTGGAACATAAAGAACGAAATGGAAGATTAATTAAGATTAACGACGATGATATAACCACGAGAATTGAAAATAATTCACGATACAGGATACAGGATTTTACTAAGGTACAGTGTTTTTCAAAGTAGCGGAAAAGGACCATTAAGAGGTGCTTCTTATAATCTAAAGGAATGCGAAAGAAAATTATTCGTGTAAAAAAATGTGGATACTTAAATGTCTATTTCTACGGATACATTGAAATAAACCATAAAAATATATTTTTCTTAGATCGTTTCAAATAGGGTGTTCTGTAATAACGAGTTGATTATTTAGTCACGAAATAAGTTAAAAATATAGAATATAATTTTTGCACAGAAGTCTTTCTATTAGATATAATCAACATTAAAAATATAGGGGCACGCATCAATTTAAGTAAAATCTGGTTCAATGTATTTTATTGTCAATTTTTGTTACGTGTAAATTATAAGCAAAAATTTCTAAAACAGATATATTTTGTAATTAAAGTATTTTAAAAGAAGAGTCCGTTACAAATCAATTTATTCTGCTTTTTTAATTTATTTTTAGATGAAGAATCATCTTTATATTTATACTACAAATTATAAAATACTACGTCTCTAAATTTTAGTCCATGAAAATTATAAGATTTAACCGCCGCAAATGTGTGTATTTTTACAACTTAAAAATTCTAAAAAATACTTTCCAAACTACCATTTACTTAGCAGTGCGAGTTCTAACAGTTGACTCAAACCGTGTTCTTTTAGAAAAGTTTTCCAACGTTCCGCAAGCACTGCAATTAACTTCTTCAGGGGGTCAAATGGCACTCTGATATTAGTATGTACCGAGTGATTTGAATCTATTTAACCAGTTAATTGTTTTTGACAAATATACTACTCATATGTAAAAAGAAGTTACTATTTGCTGTTGTTTAAATTCCTTTATATTATATAATAAAAACAATGAAGAATTAATGCAAGTAAAATTCTTGATGAAATGCATTGAAAACACAATTGCAATGCATCCAATTCTGACTGTAAAACCAACACGAACTCAGCTAACTAAACCTATCGCTACACATCGAATCGGGAAACATATTCCAGATTACATACCAAGTACATCTTTAAAATTAATTCTACATGAAAATGTGTACATTGTTACAAATATAATATTTGGAAAGAATCAATACATTATGTATTGTACTTTGCTTTACTCAATATCATTCCACGACAGCAGAATAAACTAACCAATCACTTTTCTAAGTAATTAATTTTTCATGAATTTTTTTCTTTCATATGCAAACTATACATAAGTTAAATACAAATAAATAAATGTTATTAATTAAAATATAAAATAGTCGTTTCATTCCAATTTAATTCTATATTAGAATAATATTATAACATACTCTGTGACTAAGGAGTATACTCGTGACACAATTTAGATACACACTTTTCAAGGAGATCGCAACAGCTAACTGGTTAGGGTGCCTGTGCCAATCACCAAACTCATGTCATGGGTCACTTAGTCACCAATCGTCGCAGTTTTAATTGTTTTCAATTGTAATTAAAATCATTAAGTCTTTAATTATTCAATTGAACGAGACATGAGCTCGGTGATTGGTAACCACTGACCCATGACAGGGCCACAGACACCAAAAGTATCCACCTTGAATAGACTTAAATCACACGGTACACGCCAACATCAATATCATTTGACCCCTCGAGAAGATAATTGCAATGTTTGTGAAACGTTGGAAAACTTTCCTAAATAGGCACGATTTGTTCCAGGAAATCCCGGCCTGTAATAATAAGTTGTTTGAACGTAGCAAACGGAAAATCACTGATCGCGTCGTTAGGAAAAATGTAACAGATAGGACATGATAATGAGTAAATGCAATGGCATCATTTTGTCGGGCGCGGTCGACTGTACCAGGCCGGGCCCGTGACGCACCCGGTCTTTATTTAAATCATTCGATCCGTCATGCTATAATCGATTAACGCTAATAGCCAGGGAAATAGAGTTGAGCACTGAGATGCACAATTTCTAGCTACCGCGCCCCTCGCGGGAACCTCTCGTTTCTTAATCGAGTATCCGGCAATCCAATCAACCGCTAAACATTTTCTATAGAAATTAACGTTCCCGTATACATATTACTTAAGATTCTTATCACGACGCTGTGAGAACATTTCCATCTCGCTTTCCCTTTGCTCCGTTATCATTAAATACACTATATAATTTACGGAAATATTGTATGCACTTGCAGTTCGGCGATACTGTAATTACAAGCTGCTCGAAATGACTTTATCGCTCGCCCAAGTACGCAGTACTTTGAAAGAGCTAATATGCTCTACAGGGTGTTTCGAAATTATAGACCTAAACTTAAACAGATAATTAAGCTCGTAAAACGTAACCAGAAGGACTTTACAAACATTTGAAAACGATTCGAAAATAGTAAATCTTCTATTCGTAGATCTATTGCGGATGAAAGATAACATTTTTTTATTTGAGAGACGATTAATCTTCGATCACGCTACTTCAAATCCCTTCGATCCTTTGTGCAAGCTTCTCCATATCATTTATGAAACATCCTATACGCGTTGGGGAATCTGCAAGAATAATAATCACGGTTTCCGCCCCTAAGCGTATGGAAAAACAAGGCAGGCAACATTTTACAGCTTGCACTTTGCAACCGTTGTCTCAAGGAAACGATCTACGTTAACGGTGAATTCTAGATCCGGTACGCATAATGTGGTACACACATTTCGTACACAGTGTGAGTAAAAACCGCATTGGTATTCGCACTTTCGTTAGTGCACTTTCACAGCGGGTTCGTAACGGTAGCCCTTGCGCTCCTGCAACTGCATACCGGGCAAATGCGGTTCTCTACAATCGAACCGTACGCAAAAGAGATCGAGCCAACACTTTCGAGCCTGGAAACACCATCGTGACTCGTAACATAACCGTTAAAAATGCAGATAATTATATATCGAATGAGTTTACCTATATCGCGCATTATAACGCCTCTCGTGCGAGCGTACCGACAGGAAAACGTGCACGCGCTGCATCAGAAATACAAGCCAACGGCCATAATCTGACGCATACTGCACGTACCTTAATTTACAATAATTGTTTACTTTCGTAGAAAGCCAGCAATACCAGCTACACCGTAGTTTTAGAACATGTTAACTTTGTTTCGTAATGTATTTCTGACAAATTAAAAAAAAAACAGTTAATGTTTGTTTAGAAGGGTGGTTTTCAGTCTTTGAGAGTCATCTCCCTTAAAAAAGAAGAAATTTTCTACGCTACGGAAATAAACGATAGGTTTATATATTATATATTTATTTCTGCATCAAAAGCTTTCTTTCTATCTTTAAATCGTGATAGAAAAACAATGTATTTCAAAATAGTTCGACGTCGATTCAATGAGTGTAGGCTGAGTGAACGTGTTATAAGTATCGATCCTTTCATTTCGAAGATTAAGAAGTTAGGATTACTTTCTCGGGAGATAATTTAAATTAGAAACAAAAGAATAGTCCGAGATAATCTTAACTGATGAATTTAAGATTAATTGATTTGGATCCGACGAAGAATGATAGATAAGATGTCGTATCGATGAAGGATGTAAACAGAGTTATATTAAAGTGAAAAGTAACAAATGATGTTGTTAAGAACGTTGTAAGTCCAATCGTGCAATATATTAGTGTAACAAAGTGATCGATTCACTTTCTCGACTTCAACTCAATTAAAGTGTTATGCAAAAATGTAAACAAATACGTATAGCAAATACATAGACATCGAACAATGAGAATAAAATTGTACGTCATAATTGTTAAAATAAGCAATTTCTCGCGTGAAGTAAGATATTCAAATTAATTACAACAAATACAGAGAACTTTATTTTCTATCTTATAAAGCAGATTACCGACATACAAATAATATAATTGACATCTACGTAAGTATTATGCATAAAAATATAAGTTGCGTTAAACTTTAATTTATAATAATGATAATTTAATGTCTAAGTTATAGTACAGTTTACATTTTTTTGAAAATAAAAATATCAATACTGTAGATGTATAGTAGTTTACATAACAGATGTTTCGACTACTAATTGTAAGTAGTATGATCAATAAAAAAGATTTTGGTTTTATTACCAAGGATCTTAATATTACTTGTTTTTATATGAATTTTAAATCTGCATAATTTCCATATTTTTTAATTTTTTTTATGCTGTATTTTTAATTTTCGTCTCTAATATTATATTAGTTTTAAAATTTCATTAATATTTCCTGAGAAACGAACTACTATATACAATATTGATGCTCGTCACTCCTCCCAAAAAACATATTAGTTTCTCTAAAGCAATATATTACATAATAATTGGCGCAACGAAAAAAACATTGACTATCTGCAAAAATATAAGCCCCATTAAATTTTAATTTATAAACATAATAATATAATAATTTAATTTCAAAGTTATGTTATATAAGCTGCTTTAGCTGTATCGAGGTATGTGCGATGATAACATTTTATGATGTTTTAATAATACACGGAAA